CAAGTAATTTAACTGAACGAATAAAGCAATGAAAATAATATATCGAAAACACTTATAATAAGAAACCTTGGTTAGTAAAGATCCACCACCGGAATTCAACACTGATCATTGATTAATAAAGTAATTAATATGCAATTGAATATTTGTCGTGAAATTATTTCATTTCTGTTTTCCCTTAGTTGTAGGTAAATAAAGCACAAGCGGTTTAATTACCCCTAACTACTAAATAATCTAAGACAAGCGCTATAGATTTAATTTAATAGCAGCAATAGGAACTAGGAAAACCGACAAACTAAGGGGGGTGTATTCAATCATAACTTTCATAGAGTTTTAAAGACTTTTATGAACTTTAAAAGTTTGGAGGTATTCAATTCAAACTTTTAGAGAGTCTTTAAAAGTTAGGCGGTATTCAATCAAGATTTTTAAAGAGTCTTTAAAAGTCATGTGGTATTCGATTAAGACTTTTAAAGAGTCTTTAAAAGTCATGTGGTATTCAAAAAGTTATGAACTTTTGTAGACTTTTTAATTTTAAGACTTTTGTAGACTTTTGTAGACTTTTCCTAGTCAAATATAAATAGTTGAAATCCAACCCTCAACCCCAAGATTTCAAATTTTCTTTCTAACAACTTTGAATGTTTTCTCTCTCTATTTAAACTCTATTTTTCCCCTATTTAAACTCTATAAACCTATCTAAATTCAATAAAATTATTTTTTCTTCATTATCCTATATTTTCGTCATACCTAAACTCTACTGATGTTATCACATCTGTGCATGTTTTTATAGCTTTTCTGATTCATTTTAGAAACAAAGTTATTGAATCATGTCCATTTATTTCTTGTTTTCCTTGCTTTCTCGTTAGATTATGTTTTTACACTTGTTTTGAATGTCTTACGGTGTTCGGTAGTGTTTTTCTTCACCATTACAGGGTGAGCGTGAAAGCAAGGGAAGAATTTCAAGCACGAAATGATCAAAAGAGGAAGAAGCCGAGGCATCAGCAATTCGACGCGTCGAGCCCATGCCTCGACGCGTCGAAAATTTCCAGTAGCCTCAAACATTGCACAGGCTGGAGGCTCGACGCGTCGAGCAGACTTTCGACGCGTCGAGGTCGCGGGCAGTTGTTGACTTAAAGGACTCCTAAATTGATGCCATCAGGGTTCTACTATAAAAAGACCATCTTCTATCAACCCTAGCTCTCTCTTCTTCTGCGATTTGGGTGTTTTGAAGGCAATCAAGAGCAAAGCACAAAGGGGACCAACTTGAAGATTTACAACTAGCTTTGGAATAGAGAATTAGCTAGAAAGATTCGGGAGAACTCTTTCACTCTTACTCTTATCCTCGTTGGTATTTGTTTATCTTTGAGCATTGAATTTACTGTTATTATGGCCATGAGTGGCTAGATTCTTTAGGGATTTTTGGGTGAATTTGTTTATGAACCTATGTGCCTTGCTCGTTAGTTTCTTAATATATTTATGTTTGGATTTATGATTTGTGCTGCAGTCTTGTCTTAACCTGTTGTTGTTGGTAATTAAAGGCCTAAATTACTGGCTTCATAGTCATATTTGTGTCACCAATGGGAATTGGGGCATAAACTAGGGCACACACGATTGCACCTAATAGTTAGACCTTGGGAAAGGGGAACTTATTAGGGGAAGTTAATTCCAGGTTGTTACTCATCGGGAGATGGTAGTAATTAGGAATAATCGAATGCTTATCTTCGATCTTATCGGGTGTTTAAGCCACGGGAGTGGAAATTCACTAGGAATAGAGATTACGGGAGTAATTCGATTCCACTTTGCATTCCCACACAGATCTTAATTCCGAACCAAGTATTACAAATGTTAATTGGCACTAGGTGATTAAACATTGTGATCCCAAGAATCCCATTTTGCTCTATTGTTTACGAAACCTTAATATTTGTTTAATTTCTTGCTCGTTATCTTATGCAACCAATCAACCATCAAGTTTCGATCAGACTAGCTCTTGTAAGTAAGCGAGTAATTAGTATTTAGTACCCCATCTCCCTGTGGTTCGACTACCCGAATACTCTGGGTATTATTTGTTTGCAAATATACTACGCATCATCTACCAATTTTTTTCTCTCCTAAACTTTAAAATCTTCATCTAAAAATTCGAAATAATATTATTTTTGCTTCATTATTGCTTGTTTATATTGGTTTTTATTTTTTTCTATGAATTTTTTATCCCTAACTATCTCTAATTCTCCCTAAATACATGAACAAAGCAAATTTTTCATCGTCAAATTTTAATATATGTTTCATAATATTCATATAAATACTTATATATTTTTTGATTTTTATTATTTTTATGTTTATATTCGTAATATATATTTTTCTTTTTTTCTTTTTAACAACAGGTTACTACGTATAGCGAATTAATGTTTTGTAAGAAAATTGTAAATGATAAAAATAAAAATCATTGAAAGTTTGTAAGGATGTATTCAATTTAGAATTTCAATGACTTTTGTAGACTTTTTAAAATAAAAAGTTGATAAAAGTCTATGAATGTTTTTTGTATAGACTTTTAGAGAGTCTTATAAAGTTTTAAAAAGTTTTGAACGACTCTACGAAAGTCAATCAAAGTTTATTAAAATCTATCATTTTAAAAGTCTTTAAAACTCTACAAAAGTCATGATTGAATACACCCCCCTAAATAACACAAGCACAAGCGGTTGCATTTAATTTAGGAAAATATTCTGCCCGAGACCAATTATCACTAAGCCGTCAATAATTAACCTCAGTTGCTACTGAATATTAGAATAATTTGTAGCACAACATTATCTAATATAGCAAATAATTATATCAAATAAATAACTAGTAGGCCTTCCTAGCAATTAAATGATACAACTATTCAAATAACTTAGAAGAATATTTAATACTCAAAATGCATAAAAACATATATATAATAAAGTTAAATAAATAACCTTACAGCGTTATGAACTCCGGGGCTTCAATTTACTAAACCAACTAGAAATTAGCCACAAATGGACATTGATAACAACTTCAACGAATACTATAGAGGAGGGAAGAATGAACATTTTACAATAAAACACTTATACTATTTATACACTTTCTAAATTAAACCTAATGAACCTCTACCACTTATCCTCCTATTTTTGTGCCTCATGTAATAGTCTTCCCCAATACTCTCGCGCAATATTGTCCTCACCTGCATAATGAAGGGAAATAGTCAATTTCAATTGGTTTGCATGTATGATAAGTTTTATTTGGACTACTTAAATTTATTTAAATAATATATATATATATATATATATATATATATATATATATATATATATATATATATATATATAATGCATAAACATATATACTAATACGTAATACATTAGTATGAATTCTTATGTATTAAATATTATATATATTATATATTATATATTATATATTATGTATTATATATTATATGTTATATATAAAAAGAGCTAATTATTAGATAATATTAAATAATCAATGCAAAATTATTATAAAGATGTACCTAAAATATGAGTGTAAAATATGCCTATCAATAGTGTATATAAAATAAAATAAAATAACATTTTTACATATTTGAGTGTATAAATATCGAATGAAACTGTAATTATATCGAAATGAAACTGTAGTTGTGTTGAAATGAAACTGCATTGTATACAAAATGAAAATGAATAACAGAGTTACTTTTTGCGGAACGGAGCGAAACGGGTGCCGTTTCTTTTCATTATACAAAATGACGTCATTTTAGAAGCTCGGTGCATAATCCATTATGCACCGCGGTGCACGATATAATTTGCCGTAGAAATTGGGAGTAAGAAATGGGAGTACATGTAGTATTTTCCATATTAAATATGCTTTTAAGCCTAACAAAAAACCTCCCTATAGACCCAGGCCTAAGATTTCTATAGCAGGCCCATGCCTATTTTTTTAAAGCTCAGTTCGGCCCCACCTATTTTCATCCAAGGTGCACGATGTATTGTGCGCCCTGGCCAAAACGACGTCGTTTTACTTAATGATTCCGTTATAGTATTTTATTTATTTATTTATTATTATTATTATTTTTTTTTGCACTTGTGGGTATGTGTATTCTTTTAAGAGTTTATGTATATTCTATTAAGAGTTTATGTGTATTATGTTAAGAGTTTGTGTATTATGTTAAGAGGAATTTATGTGTATTATGTTAAGAGGAATTTATGTGCATTATGTTAAGAGGAGTTTATGTGTACTATGTTAAGAGCTTATGTGTATTAAGAGTTTGTGTATTATGTATTATGTTATATTATGTGTATTATGTTAGGAGTTTATGTGTATTCTATTATACAATTCTGTACATTCGAAACAAGAATTTTTTTTTAGAAGTTAATGGAAAAATAGGAAATAGAATTTCTATAAAAAATACAGATACAAAACGACTTCGTTTTGGATTAGGACGCACAATGCATTGTAAGCCATGATGCACGATATAATTTCAATAGTTATGCTGTGCAACCGTGTGCACCATGCGGTTGCAAAACGACGCCGTTTTGACTAAAAACGCGCGTCCCATTTAAAAAAAAAAATCAATTTCGATTCCCCTCAACGACATTATGTTGTTCATTCATTGTGGATTTTTAGTTCATTCATTGTGGATATTTAGTTTATTCATTCTGGATTTTGTGTTATTCATTCACTGTGGATATATAGTTATGAATTTGTGGATATATAATTCAAATTATGCACAAAAAAATACTATTGCCGGAAATTGAACCTGATTTTTTTAAAAAAAATTAGACACACATTTTAGTCAAAACGACATCATTTTTGCAACCGTGTGCACCATGCACAGCATAATTTGCGATATAATTTGCCATTTTCATCCCTAGCTCTATGCAAAATGTCATAGATGTTTCGCCTAGGCCCAATAACATGGTTCAAGCTCATTGAATTGGGCCATGGACTTCTTAAATCTAAACTGTGCTTTTTCTATAATACGGAGTATTTTTTTTAGAAAATAGAAGCGTCTTTCTCGATTTTCAGCTCTCCTCACTTCTCTGCCGTGACCGCACCTTTTAAGTTTTAACGCAGTACGGCGCCACTTTCACCAGACTCCGCTGTTTGTGTTTGAAGGCAATGAGCGAAAGCATTCAATGGAATCTATTGAACCAGCTGGAGTATATATTAGAATCCGATCCATTGATGTAAGCTTTCAGAACTTTCCCTCTCTCAGATGGAGTAAGCATTTCAAGCAAAATGATAGATTAACTTTTTTCACAAAGAATTAAGGACCTACTTTAGAGAATTTATATCGGAGTTTTATGAATTGTTTAGCTCTGAGTTTATCAGCTTAAATGATCTTTGCTTATATTTTATTTTTCTTGCGTGAAGTTTGAAGCTTTTACAAGGATTGGTAGTAGGACAGCGTTATTAGTTTTCCTTTGTTGTTTTTTTTTTTTTTGCTGTATATGAGGCACTATGGTGAAGATTTGCAAGATAGTTATAGTTATAGTTATGTATCAATGTGTGATCCGCGGCTGCATCTCTGTAAATTTCATGGTTGTCTTAATCTTCATGACAGATTCAGTGCTAAAATTTCTTCTTATTAACTTAATTGTCTTTCTTTTTTTTTTTTTTTTTTTTTTTTTTTTTGTTTGTTCTTCTCTTGCATCCAGTGATGAAGTTGGGTTTATCCATCCATCTCAATTTGATGTACTGAATGAAGAAATTGGGAGTACTTCCTTGTCTGCTGAATCCATATCTCAATCAGCAGACAAAGCTAATATATATGGTAAGGTTTTTTGGAGCAGGGACCATAAGTTGGGCATCTCAACTGCAGCTCTCCTTCCATTGTACAAAGCAGCTAAACATGCATTCATGGATTCACTGAGACAGTATAAGATGCATACTGGTCTGACCGAAGTTAGAGATGAATGTGATGAGGTCAATGTGCCCAAATGCCCCTCATCTTCTCTTACTGTTCTTGAAAAAGAAGTGATGAAACATAGCAAAGCAATTTTGCTCCTAAGCTGTGATTTTGGTACTGCATGGAATTTTAGGTTAGTTTCTTTGTATGTTTAAGTGGCATTTCTGTTTTTGTCATTGTGCATCTCTCTTATTCCTCTTCTCTTATAAAATTAATATTGTTTTTACAAATCCTGTAGATGTACTGATATGCTTTATTCCCCGTCTTTTGTCGCCTTTGCTGCTACAATTAGAATGCTGAAGATTATCTCTCTTCATTTCTTTTCCTCATTTATGCGACTCTATAAAGTTCCAAACATGCAGGAAGAAACTCGTTTCAGAGCAGCAAGAGTACTCAATGTTCATGGGAGAACTAGTTTTGTCAGATCTGGTTCTCTCATATTCACCTAAAAGTGAACGAGCATGGAGTCACAGGTAACATATTGCTTTAAATCTTTGTAAGGAAAGTTGATAATATTAGGATGCAAATTGCTCCATAGAGAAGGTAGGACAAGAAAGAAAAAAACATTGGTGATCTGCTAATTCTTGATATGCTTCTCTTTTGTACTGAGATTAAACATCTTACTTCTGGCCTCTGTTTCTATCCCATCTGTAACTGTAATTTATGTTCTAATATTTCAATTTATAATTCTTATAAATGCTAACTAATGATAGGAGGTGGGTGATCAAGATGATTGCCGGAAAGTGTTCAAATCTCCAAGAGATAGTGGACAGAGAATCTGAGTTTGTGAAAAAACTAGCTGAGGTTTTATGTTGCATATAAACTGGGGGCATTTAAATGCATATTAGTTCAGGACTGTTTGATGCTTGTCTTCCTTGATCTAATACTAGTAGTTTTGTTGGCTTTCTGTTCTTTTGTGGAAGAATGTGACTCATGTTCTATGTTCTGTTTCAGAGATCAAAAATGAACTACCGTGCATGGAATCATCGTTGCTGGTTAGTATCCTATATGCCAGTAGGACAAGTAAGTCAAAAGTTGATATACCTGAAGACATACTTTACTTTGTCCATTCACCTTTTACTTCTTGGAAAGTAGTAGATGAAATTTGGCAATTATACTTCTTGTCAAATACTCCGTAATACCATTCAGGTATTAAGTGCCCATAATTTTCTCAGATGTTCGATGAGTTGAACAAGTCACGAGAGTGGGCTGTACTTAATGTTGCTGATAATTCCTGCTTTCATTATCGTGCTGTGAGTATTTCCTGATCATTCATCAGAATATTAGCATAAGCTATATATTTAGTGGCTTTTTGAATCCTTTGTTTCACATAAATATTATATATGCTCAGATGCCTCTAAAATGTTGTTCACAGAAAATTTATAATACCATTTTGAATAGGGGTGCATTATAAAATCTATTATTGCTTTGAACTGTTAATATTTATATTGCCAGTTTGAATAGGAGTGCATATTGGCAATGCATTTTGGGATATTGGTGCAGTTTTAAGCTATCCTATGCATGTAGTAATCTCTCTTTTAATAAGGATTCACATACTATTTCAATTCTATTGGTATATGACATAGGGTGCATGCGCAACCCCCAAGAGGGAATTTTTACTTTGAAACTTCAAATAGACTTGCTAGTCAAACAAATAGTAAGACTCCATTAAGTTGAGCTAGTGTTTAGCTTGAAAGGTGAGTGTGTCAACTTAATTTATCAAAGGAAATCCCCTCGACTTCTTTCATCATCTTTTGCTTTGTCATTTTGGTAAATTAAGTAGGATTTAAATCCTTCATTCCTGCATCACCACTGCGCCGTTAGCTGTTTCCTGTGCTAGAACTACTTCAGTATACCAGTTCTCTCATCGCAATTGATGTTAAATGTATGTACTGAAAGAAAACAACTCCTCAAGCATAATCTCCAGCATAAGTCCCTCAAGCCAAGCTGAAATATAAAATAAACCCTTATTGGTCATTTGCCTTCTGTTAATTTGTTTGAGGTGTGTTAAACATATACTGAAAACTCTCTTTTTAGTTATTGTATAAATGTATGGGTGTGTTTGTGTGTGTACTGAAAGCTTGTAATAGAGTTTTTGCTGAATGGCAGAGGTTAATGCTCAGTATTTTAGAAGCTTTCCTCAACAAAGATGAAAATGGATTTTCTGGTGAAGAACTTGATGAGATGTGGAAGGTACCCTATACCATTAAGTTTCTCTATAAAGTTTTATGTACTGCTTTCCTAGAAAATGAGAGCTTATATACGCTTTTTCTTCCATGGACATTCTTTTTTCTCTTAGGGGTTAGTGTTGTAACAAGAATCTTTTCTAATTTCTATTGAATATAAATGGCATTGCTCAAACAAATTGCCTCTTTTGTCAACTTTGATGAAAATTTTGTGAAGAAATGCATCCTTTTTCACTTTTTCTTGTCTTTTCTCCATTTTGTTCTTAACTACTTTTTTATCTCAAAAAAAAAAAAAAAAGAAAAGAAAAGGAAGACTAACTAAAAGCACAATGTGACTGATAAAGAAAATAAACTTGTCTTTTTGACTTCCAATCTTATTGAGGCACTAGTTGCTAACTTTAGGACCCAATCATAAAATCCAATGAACCAAATACTCGATAAATGCTAAAACCATTGTGCGATACATAGATTGACCCTTTTATACTTTTGGGCAACGTACCATTCTCTGATCAATATCTTGCTAATTCATTTTAACCTTCAAATTGTATATTCTAACTTTGGCTTTTGAAATTATCAGGATGAGCTTAACTGGATTGAGAAGTTAATAAAGCTTTATGTGGGTAGAGAGGTATGATTTGATCAGTCTTTTAACATTATGAGATATTTACTTTGATGTTGTAAGATAGCAATAGGTCATGTAAAGGACTATATTGTCTAGTTGCTCGCGAAACTGTGAAAGTATAGACTGAAGCTAATATATGGCAACTGGACAGCGAAAAAAACACTCTTTTAAAAAGAAGCTAGCTGCACTCTATGATCATGATTAACTGTAATGCTTGTATCTGCCAGGCTTTGTGGCTTCACCGTCGCTTCCTTTCATCATGTTGGATAAAACATTTTGCTAGTACTAATTGCCGTAAACCCCAGCATTCTAGTAAGAAAAGTAGCAGCACATGCGACATTGACCGGTTCATAGATAATGAATTACAGCTATTCAATTCCTGTGCAACAATACTTGATAGTCACTTCGATGACTATCAAGCTCAGGCAACTTATGCTGCTACTTATATTATGTGGCTTAAGAAGGTAACTGCCTCCATTCTATATTACAGTTTGCTGTAATTTTTTCTTTTTTTTTTTTTTGGGTTTTTCATCAGAAAGATTTCTTTTTTCTTGTCTTAAGCAAATTCAAGTGGAGTCACTGGGGATTGAGTTTCAAAGGAAGCTACAAGTAAGTGGACTGAAGACGTTGCTGAATAACGCATGCCCGGAGAAGGCTTTTCTTTGGGACTCTTTGCTTCAGCTGTGTGGATCTGAATAGCTTTCAACTAGAAGAAATCACAAAAGCATAACAGGTTTTTTTTTTTTTTTTTGTTTTGTTTTGTTTTGTTTTTTGTTTTTTTTTTTAATCCTACTAATTAATGAGAAGTGTTGTATGACTTGAGATGTTCAGATTGAACTGCTGCTCCCATTAGGCTATTAGTCAGTCATTCCCAAATCTTAGGTTGTGTTTGGTGCACTTGAAAAGCAGACACATAAATGGAGCAAGGGAACAGATATTTATTTAATCTTACTGCTTTGACTCGTGCCTTACCGCTTTGTAAAAGTTCACTACCAATAGGTGATCGGTTTTATAGTGAAAAGCACCAGATTATTATGAAGATAAAAGAAAACTCAGAAATAAATATCCTCACAAGTTCTGTTCATGCTGTAGACATAGAAAATTTGAATTTGATAAATGGGTTGATAAAATTATTATTGGGCTTAATTTTAAGATTGGGTATTAGGCCAATTTAATTAATTGGTTATGATAATTAAATTAATTTAATTAGTCTAAGTAAATTTGATCCAATCATTATTGTGTAGACCATGGTTCACACAAGTTGTGTGGACCATATTTTGTACATTATAAAATAATGTATATTTAGTACAAAAATAATGTACTTTTAGTATATTAATAATTAATAATATTAATAATGTACATTGTATTTAGAAAAAGTACATTATTTGAGTACTATAAGTACATTATTTTGTATAATGTACATTTAATACACAAATAATGTACTTTTTGTTATGGTCCACACAATAATTTGCCAAATTGATTTGGGTTATTGAATTAATTAATTAATTAATTGATCCAAGCTCAATTCATATTTGAATTATAATTATAATTATCATTGAATTTAAATATAAGTTTATTATATTTGAGTTGGATAATTATAATTTAATTTGAATTTGAATTAGATGATATAATATTGAACCAAGACTTAATTTTGATAAGGTTCATTTTCTTGGTTAATTAATTAATTTAATTAAATAAATATAATTAGGGAGTTTGTTGAGGGATAGTGGTTACATTTTTCACTATAAATAGAGCCCTCATTTGACATCTCAACACATTTTTGAAGACTTGAAGATTTGAGAGCTCATTGAAGGAGTTGAAGGCATACTTGAAGGCATTTGAAGATTTGAAGACATTTTGAAGATCTTGAATGCATTGAAGGCAGTGGAGGTACTATGAAGCTCTGTAGAGTTGACTGTCTTTAAGCTTAACGTCTCTATTGAAGATCACGCCACTTGAATTCTGGAGGCACGCGCCATTTGAATCTTGGAGGCTACGCTACTTGAATCCCAGAGGCACTTTAGTAGAGCACATTAGTGAAGAATCAGAGGATTACACAGAGATTTTGTACCTGCACCTTGAATTACACACACACTGTAAACTGATTTTGTGAATATATACAAACTTCATATTTTGTGTTTACAGATTTTGGCACATCTAGTGGGATTACTCTACTTCTCATCTCTTCACTCTTGATTCAAGAGCTCTACAAGGAATCCAAATGGCATCAAGAAATCTTGTCTCCAATATGACCTATGCTCAGGCTGCCAGCTCCAAAGCATCATCGGTGACCGGTTCCAGTGACAATCGCGAAATGAAATGACCAATGACTCGGAGCCGAGCGAGGAACCTGGGGGTGCAGCTGGACGAGACCCAGAACATCGTTCGAAGGATTGAAAGCAGCTCCAGCACGTCACGGAAAGCTACATATGACAAGGGTTCATCCTCAATAGCGGGAACTGTTGGCGATAAGAGTCCTATTAGCCCTCCTCCCTCGAAAGGAACTACCAGCAATAAGAATCCTACGAGTCATACTCCCTCAAGCGGAACCCCTAGCAGTGGAAGCTCGTCTCCGATACCCCAGTCATCACCTCTGTGGAAAACAGCACCAGAATGGACTCAGTCTACACAGACATGCCCTCTATGACAACGAATGCCGCTTTGGTGGAGGAACAACTAGCAAACATCACCAAACCTCTAGAGGGAATGACTGCGCTCCTTCACAACCAAGAAAGGAAGATCAATGACCTAAGTGAAAAAGTTGAAAGTGGAAGAAACAGGTCGAGTTTCTGGGAAGCAGCCTCAAACCCAAGAAGAAGAGATTGACGTTGAGTCACCACGTCATCACAGTAGGCCTATGGCAGGGATCGAAGAAACAATCTCTCGCCCATCGCCCGCTAAAAAGAGTGTTCCAATTTCTGGGGACATGATACCTATCGAGCAGTTGAATGATTACATCATGGGAGCAATCAAAGGAAAGCTCGAGAGAGGACAACTTCGTATACTTACACTAAGCCCTATACCTAGAGGATTGAAGAAATGAAGATGCCGCTGGGCTACTAACCTCCCAAGTTCCAACAGTTTGATAGAAAAGGCAATTCAAGACAACACATCGCCCACTTCGTGAATACCTGCAACGATGCTGGAACATATGTAGATCTCCTCGTCAAGCAGTTCTTTCGCTCTTTGAAGAGCATTGCCTTTCATTGGTACAACGACTTGGAACATGGCTGCATTGACAATTGGAATGACATGAAACACGAGTTCTTGACCCACTTCTACAGCACAAGAAGGATCGCCAGCTTCTTGGAGCTCACCACTACTCGCCAATGGAAGGGTGAGCGTGCGAGCACTTACATCGAGAGATGGAAGGAGTTGGTCTTAACGGTAAAGAGAGGATATCCCAAAGTTTTGCAATCGAAATGTGTATTTAAGGCATGCACTTCGAACTCTCATACATCCTGCAAGGGATCAAGCCCAAAACATTTGAAAAACTATCCAGTCGTGCTCACGACATGGAGTTGAGTATTGAAGCCAGTGGGGGACTTAGCATGTCAAATATACCTAGTTCATCTAAAGTACCCACAAAGCAAGAAGTCAAGAAAGGGGGCAAACCCTTCCCAAAGCAAGAAAAGAAGGATGCCATGAACGTGAAAGCAAGACCAGTGCGGGTATTTACCAAAGTGACTGAAAATCCAAGGCCAAGGTCACTCCCCCGCCCATCAAGGGGAATTAGAATTGTTGAAGAGTGGCAGCATAAGCAGTATCTGTTCTTGGATTCTGACGTTTCTCTGATGTTTAACAAGTTGTTAAAACTCAAGTTGATTGAATTACCAGAGATGAAGTGACCCCAACAAGCTTCCAGGGTGCCAACTATTGCAAATATGACCGTCTCCTCAGACACCCGATTGAAAAATACTTTGTTTTTAAGGATATGGTGATGACGCTGGCTCGTGATGGAAAGATTGAACTTGTTGATGCAACTGCAAGCACGAATCAAATTTCACGTGGAAGGTTTGCTTCATTACTTGTAGAGAGTGATGAAGAGGATGGGGATAAGCAATGTAAACATCTGCTTCCATTTATTATGAAACATGCTGCTAGGCGGCATCCAAAGTCCGCCATAGCAACATATTTCATAATAAATGGGAGCGGGTGTTTGCATTACTTGTCCCCATCATCTTAATCACTCTCTACAAGTAATGGAGCAAACCTTCCACATGAAATTTGATTTGTGCTTGCAGTTGCATCAACAAGTTCAATCTTTCCATCATGAGGAAGCGTCATCACCTTATTCTTAAAAACAAAGCATTTTTCTATCGGGTGTCCGAGGAGACGATGATTTTTGCAATAGTTGGGGCCGTCCACCCTGGAAGCTCCTTCGGGTCGCTTTATCTCTGGTAATTCAATTAACTTGAGTTTTAACAACTCACAAACATAGGAGAAATGTCAGAATCCAAGAACGGATACTGTTTCTACTGCCACTCTTCAATAATTCTAGTTCCCCTTGATGGGCGGGGGAATGACCTTGGCCTTGGATTTTCAATCACTTTGGTGAAAACCCGCACTGGTCCTCCTTTCACGTTCATGGCCTCATTCTTTTCTTGCTTCGGGAATGGTTTGCCCCCTTTCTTGACTTCTTGCTTTGTGGGTGCCTTGGATGATATAGGCATACTTGAAATGCTAAGTCCCCCATTGGCTTCAATACTCAACTCCATGTTGTGAGCACGATTGGATAGTTCTTCAAATGTTTTGGGCTTGATCCCTTACAGGATGTATAAGAGCTCGAAGTGCATGCCTTGAACACACATTTCGATTGCAGAGCTTTGGGATATCCTCTCTTTATAGTTAAGCCACAACTCTCCCCATCTCTCGATGTAAGCGCCCGCACGCTCACCCTTCCATTGGCGGGTGGTGGTGAGCTCCAAGATGCTGACGGTCCTTCTTGTGTTGTAGAAGCGGGTCAAGAACTCGCACTCCATGTCATTCCAACTGTCAATGCAGGCACAAGTCGGTGTACCAATCAAAGGCAGTGCCTTTCAAAGAGCGGACGAACTGCTTGACGAGGAGATCTCCATATGTTCCAGCATCGTTGCAGGTTTCCATGAAGTGGGTGATGTGTTGCCTTGGATTGCCTTTTCCATCAAACTGTTAGAACTTGGGAGGTTGGTAGCCCAGCGGCATCTTCATTTCTTCAAACCTCTAGGTATAGGGCTTAGTGTACGTGTACGAAGGTGTCTTCCCTCGAGCATTCTTTTGATTGCTCTCATGATGTAATAATTCAACTGCTCGACAGGTATCATACCTCTAGAAATTAGAACACTCTTTTTAGCGGGCGGTGCACGAGAGATTGTTTCTTCCATTCCTGCCATGGGCCTACTAGGATGACGTAGTAACTCAACGTCAGTCTCTTCTTCTAGGGTTTGAGGTTGCTTCCCAGAAGCTCGACTTGTTTCGCCGTTTCTTCCACTTCCAACTTTTTCACTTAGGTCATTGATCCTCCTTTCTTGGTTGTGAAGGAGCGCAGTCATTCCCTCTAGAGGTTTGGTGATGTTTGCTAGTTGTTCCTCCACCAAAGCGGCATTCGTTGTCATAGCGGGCATGACTGTGTAGATGTGAGTCCATTTCGGTGCTATTTTCCGCATAGGTGATGACTGGGGTATCGGAGACGAGCTTCCATTGCTAGGGGTTCCGCTTGAGGGAGTAGGACTTTATTGCTGGTAGTTCCTTTCGAGGGAAGAGGGCTAATAGGACTGTTATCGCCAACAGTTCCCGTTGTTGAGGATGAACCCTTATCATATGTAGCTTTCCATGACGTGGTAGAGCTGCTTTCAATCCTTCGAACGATATTCTGGGTCTCGTCCAGCTGCACCCCCAGGTTCCTCGCTCGGCTCCGAGCCATTGGTCATTCCATTTCGCGATTGCCACTAGAATCGGTCACGGATGATGCCATATTGGAGACGAGATTGCTTGATGCCATTTGGATTCCTTGTAGAGCTCTTGAATCAACAGTGAAGAGATGAGAGGTAGAGTAATCCCACTAGCTGTGCCAAAATCTG